CTTGGAGGTCAGGAGGCCAGGAACGGTGGCTCCAGTTATGGTGGGAGGAGGTTGGGGTCAATGTAGTAAAGAGGTAGGACTTAATCCTCAAGGCAATGGGGAGCCACAGGGGACCTTGGAGTATGTGGCTATCAGCCACTCTTCTTATTGTCTGTGCTTAGAGAAGGAACAAGTGTCTCTTTTCTTGGGAAGCCTTTATGTGCTTGCAGAAGGAGAGGCTTCCCAGTGCCCAGACTTCAGAGCAAAGGCTTTGGGATCCCGGGCAGGCGCCTGGGCACCCGTGGCTGGGTTGAGGTTCCCAGGGCCACTGGAGCAGCCACCGCCCACCCCCGTCCTCTCCCCTCTGCAGGAGAACCCCTACCTTTGCAGCAACGAGTGTGACGCCTCCAACCCGGACCTGGCCCACCCGCCCCTGCTCATGTTTGACAAGGAGGACGAGGGACTGGCCACCTACTGGCAGAGCGTCACGTGGAGCCGCTACCCCAGCCCGCTGGAAGCCAACATCACCCTGTCGTGGAACAAGAGCGTGGAGCTAACGGATGACATGGTGGTGACCTTCGAGTACGGCCGGCAGACCGTCATGGTCCTGGAGAAGTCGCTGGACAACGGGCGCACGTGGCAGCCCTACCAGTTCTTCGCGGAGGACTGCATGGAGGCGTTCGGCATGCCCGCGCGCCGGGCCCGCGACCTGTCGGCGTCTGGCGCGCACCGGGTGCTGTGCACCGAGGAGTACTCCCGCTGGGCCGGCTCCAAGAAGGAGAAGCACGTGCGCTTCGAGGTGTGGGACCGCTTTGCCATCTTCGCGGGCCCCGACCTGCGCAACATGGACAACCTGTACACGCGGCTGGAGAGCGCCAAGGGCCTCAAGGAGTTCTTCACCCTCACCGACCTGCGCATGCGGCTGCTGCGCCCGGCGCTGGGGGGCACCTACGTGCAGCGCGAGAACCTCTACAAGTACTTCTACGCCATCTCCAACATCGAGCTCATAGGCAGGTAAGGCCTGGGTGCTCCCTGGTACCCAGGATGCTACCTGGTTCCGGGGATCTTCTCTGATTCCTGGGACATTGTCTTATTCCCAGGATGTTACTTGGTTACTGGGATGTTACCTGGTACCCAGAATGGTACCTGGTTTGGGGGATGTTATCTGATACCTGGAGTGTTACCTGGTACCCAAGATGGTACCTGTTTCCTGGCATGTGACCTGATACCTGAGACATTACCTGGTACCTGGGATGTTACCTAGTGTTACATCAAAGGGGCTGCCTTTTCCATGGAGGGAGGTGAATGGTGTTTGATAAATGTCCTCTGTAGGACCCAGTCCACCTCTGGCCACAGAACTGGGAGGTCTGGGGCGGGCAGGGTGGAGCTGAGCAGGGCTGAGCAGTGTGGGTGGGGCTTGGGCTAAAGCCTGGCGTTCAGGATGTGTGCTGTCACTGTCCACTGACTCAGTGAATGCACACTTGTATCTGGGGGCCCCCAAGACTGTCTTCAGGCTCCATGACTTGTCAGAGGACTCACAGAACCTAGCACGGCATTTACATACACACTTGCAGTTTGTTACAATCAAAGGGGACAGATTAAAATC